TATGCATACATAACGGACACCTGTGGCGACCCCATCAAGACCTTCTCCACTGCAATTTTCAAACGGAAAGTACTTACACTGAGTTCATGTTATCTTATTAACTCGTCAGTACATCGAAAAACACTTGAACATAGTCTGGGTAAGGACCCGGGCCAAAGCTTCTCCTTGCGTTGTCGGGCCCTTGGCCCTAGACTGAAGGGGTACGAGCAGGAGGAAGAGGAGAAGAAGCAGGAGCGTTTCGCTAGAGACTTCCCCTCAAAGTGGGGATGTTGCTTACGACGTTGGCTCACAGAATTGAAGCTTTCGCCTGAGGTATTCTCAGGCAAACGAAATGTTGGAGATAAGACGTCGACCATCCAACAAGAAGGATCATTTCACCTGAGACATCCTAGCAGGATGGGGGTATTAAAGGAGTTGTCTTACAACACTGGCTTCAACAAATGAAAATGTCCTAATGAGACGTCCTCGAAAGACTGAAATGTCGAAGATCGGCCGTCGGATCACCGAAACGGTGTGGAGACGTTTGGCCGGAGGCATCCTCACGACATGGTGATGTTGGAGGACTTGGTTGACGACGTTGGCTCTTGAAAGAAGTTCTCGAACAGGACATCCTGGAAAACTTGAATGCTACATATTGGGCGTCGGATATCCAAACTGGTGTGGTGGGTGGGGGAGGGCGTCTCGCCTGAGACATACTCACAAAGTGTGGATGTTGGAGGCGTTGTGTTGTCGACAATAGCTGTCAAGAATGATGCTACTCCATGAGTGATCATCAGAAAACTGAAATGCTGGGAATCGGGTGCCAGATATCCAACATAGTGTGGGGGAGCGTTTCGCATGAAACGCCCTCACCAAATTGGGATCATGAAAGACTTGTTTTACGACGACAGTTCTCAAAAATGGAGCCGCTTGAAACATCCTGAAACAAAAGTTATATGCCGGAGATCGGTCATCGGATATCCAACATGGTGGGGGGGGACGTTTCGACTGAAACATCCTCGCAAAATGGGAATGTTGGAGTTGTTTTTACTACGCTGGTTCTCAGGAATGAAGCTTTTGCACGAGACATCCTCAGAACAGTGACATGTTGAGCTCCAGCGTTGGATATCGAACTTGGTTTGGCGAGGCGTTTCGCTGCAGACATCCTCACAAGAAAGAATATGTTCAGCGAGCTCCCGAATTGGACGTGCCTTCAAGAACTTGTCTGAGGCACCCTCACAATTTGAAGCGTCACCAAGGGGGTCTGACAGCATACTACTCCACTGAAAGTCCTAACCAAATTCGTGGGTCCGTGGTGCGGTCCCGGCGCAGAAACCTCCGTGGGCCATGGGGTGCACCGATCTCCTCTCCTGTTGGCACCCCCTCCCCGCCCCAGCACCTCCCCAGCACCGCCGTCAGGGTTGCCACCTATGAAAAATAGTAACCCTGGCCCACCAGGCGGCCCCGTAACCCAGAGTCACCCCGCCACCCTCCGAGCCGAGCCCAGCCCAGGTGACAAGAAGCGTCCCGAGAGCAACGAACACACAATTGCTTGTCCGACTGTAATTCGGGCACTATCCAGCAGTCCTCCTACTCCTACTCCTCTTCATACTCGTCAGCGGCTGCTCGGAGTTGCGAGGAAGCCTCAAGCGAACCTGGCCGGACCTCCTCGCACGTGGCATCTCTGTGCCCACAGTTGCGGGATGTCTCAAGCAGAACTGGCTGAATCGCCTCGTGCGCGGCATCGGATCGCCTCGTGTGCGCGGCATCTCCAAGCCAAGAATTGCTAGAATGTCTCAAGCGAATTGGCCGAAATCCCTCAAGTCACGACATCCCCGAGCCCAAAGATGAGAGGATGTGTCAGGAGAAATAAGCCAGACCACTTCTGGCGCAGCGTCTGGGAGCCCAGAGATACGAAATTGTCTCAGGCGAAACGGGACGGACCATCTTAGATCAGGGCGTCTCGGAACACAGATGTGTGAGGATATCTCAAGCGAGACGGGTCGGACTACGTCAGCATGTTGAGAATGTCTCGACGCGCGAGACCCTGGGGCGGCATTTGTCAGGCTGCAGAGGGCAGCCAGCGGTAATCAAGCGGGCCTGTTCCCAACTCCCGGAACAAGCGAGCGAACGCCGCCGATCTCCGCGGGGCAATTTATTCACCTGCGCAGAAGTCTAAACACCTCCTTGCTTTTCAAACGCAATTCGCCTCGCGAACCAGACGGCTATGAGCGCAACACCGGCGACACGAGCGGGGGGAGAAACAAACGTCGAAGATCATCAGTTTCCACGGTCCAGGAGATAGCTACGGACGTCTTGTATGCCAAGCATGGGACATGAGCGCTGCTTCACGCAAGGCCCGAGTGCGAGCAAAGAGCCACCTGTAGTCCACGAGAGGGCGCAGGAGCGATTTGCAAACGCATGTAGCACGTGGCACATGCTGTGCAAATGTGGTGCAAGTGTGCTCTAAATATGGTGCACCTGTGGTGTACAAGTCGTGCAAAATTGGTACAAGAGTGGTGTAAACGTGATGTACATGTTGGGGTCAAGGTGGTGAAAACGTAGTGTACATGTTTGGTGGTGGTGCATGATCGTCCTCTGGATTTCCGAGCGTGGTTTCCAATCCCAGTGGCCTGAAAACAACTGCCTTGTTACATTACTATATGAAACCCAGGCGGCTCCACCGCATTCCAGGGAGCGCGGGCGGAATCTCCAAGAGGCCCTGGCGTGCGCTAAGTGCGGTCTGGGGTAAATGTGGTGTGAAGTTGGTGCAATGCTGGTGTAAATTGTGGTGTAAAAGTGATGCACATGAAATGTAAATGTGGTGGTGTAGTGCAAATGCGGTGTCAATGTGGTGTACATGTTGAGAACATGAGGTGTAAACGTGGTGTAAGCGAGTGGTACTTGTCGCGCGTAGCCTTCCAAAAAGATGCTCAGCAGAACCCTGGCTTGATTTGCTCCCCATGAGGCCACCCGAGGCTGCGCGACAAAGACCGCCGTGCATCTCTTTATCTTCAGGCGGGCGCGCACCGCCCCCCAGACTTAAGATTTCCTTGAACGGGCATCAGAAAATACTCACTAGCCGACCATTGCAACCTTAACACGGCACACGATCTTACCACAACACAACCCCCTGGCAGCGGCCGGGCAACCCAGGAAAACTCCACAAACAAACCTTCATGACGGCAGCGAACCAAAACCTCCCGTGTACAGGTATATGTATAAATCTAGTAATACACATATATATAAACACATATGAATCCGCCAACGCGCTTGTGACGGTTGGTCTGTGTCGGACTTGTCCTGGCTTCGCTTGACCAATTCTTGCGAAGCAACAAGTAAAGCCCCCCTCCCCGTCACATCAAGCCCAAAATGCGCTCAATTGTTCAACAAAGTTCCTGCGTCCTTACCATCCGAACAGAGAATGACTCAAACACATCCTTCGAAGGACCCCACCATATGCAGTTGTGAGTACCGCCTTCGGTGGAGCGTCCCATGTGACCACGAGACGTCTGAAGGATGTGCCCAAATGACACGAGGCCGCCATGCGGACCCTGCCCCTAGGGCCATGGATTGAGCTCCCTATGGGGCCGCGAAACGTGTGGAGGGTGTGCCGAAATAACCCGAAGTCTCCATGCAGACCCTGCCACTAGCCCCTTGGGTTGAGCTCCCGATGTGGCCACGAACCGTGTGAGGGGTGCGCCGAAATGGTGCGGGGCCGCCATGCCGACGAGGATGACAGTGAAGATGATGTGGATGATGGCGATTGCGACGATGCTGAAGATGATAGTGGTGCTGATGACCCGCGTAGTGATGGAAGCAGGGAGCAGCGGAAGGAGAAAGATGAGGTGGGATGCGGGGCGCTGTCTCTTCAAAACGGGGAACAGCTGGGTGCCGAGGCCCCTGCCCCCCAGGGCGCCCGCCCCCCTCCCCGTCACCTCCTCCCCCCCGTCTCCCAGGAAACGCCCAACCACCCCAGCGGTGCCCGCCCTAGCGCGGTGGCGGGACCGCGCGGCAGCGCAACTGCTGTGTATGTGTGTACCCTACCTACTTACCTACCTACCTACCTACCTACCTACCTACCTACCTACATACATACATACATACATACATGCCTGCACACAAACATACAGCCATACATGTATACATGCATACATGCATACAAGCATGCTTGCATGCATACATAAATACAGGCAGGCATACAGACCGACAGACAGACAGACCGACAGACAGACAGACAGACAGACAGGCAGACAGGCAGACAGACAGACAGATATACAAGCCATACATATATATATACATACATACATACATGCATACATGCATGCATGCATGCATGCATGCATGCATGCATGCATACATACATAAATACACACATGCATGCATGCATGCATACCTGCATCGCTACACACCTGCAGACATGCATACATGCATACACACATCTATATATATATACATATATATATGTATATTCACACACGCATACATGCATACATGCATGCATACATACATGTATACGCATATGCACATGTGTATACATATATATATATACTTGTATATAAATATAGATATACACTCACCGAATTACGGTGGATCAGCGTGCGATAATGTCGGAGCTGGTTATTGGCCCCTCGTGGATCATTCAATATTGCGATCGCTTGTTAATGATAGCGCAGATCGTTCGATGCTGGCCGACTCCAGGGAGCCACTGGCAGCGTTCAACCACAATCGCCCGCGCTGGCGCCATCGCTGCTTAAATGTCGCGTGAACCTGCCGCACAACTCACATGCACATGTTGCGAACCCCAGCATTCATCGGAGGGAATCCCCAGGAAAGACGATGGCGGGCGCTGCAAAAATTGTGCAACCATGCGTGTTCAGTGTGGCAATCACGGCAAGACATGACCTACTCCTTCTCTCCCTCCTCCCCTCACTCTCTCCTCAATCCTCCTCATCCGCCTTGTCCTGAGACTCTTCAGCACCCATGCTCGATTCGAGAAGGGAAAAGATGTTCAAGAATGCCTGCGGCTTCTCCGTCTCGCCCTTCAAGAGCTGCTTGAGGAGTTCATCAGCCGCGTCGGACCCTCCCCATCCCCCACAATGAATTGCCCGTGTGTGCTCATCACTCGTTCTCTCTTTCTCACGCTCTCTTCCTCCCCCTTATTTGTCTCGCTCTTTCTCCCTGTCTCTCTCTCCCTCTCCCTCTCTTCCTCGCTCCCACTCTGTCTCTATCACTATTATGATATTGTGGTTCTCTCTCTCTCTCTCTCTGACGACCCTTCCCGTTTGCCCCGCGGAACGATTCACTCTTCCCCGACCTTCCTCCGCCTGCCCCCTCCGCAAACATACCCAGAACTCCAGCGGCGTGCTTGTTCGTTTCACAGCGAAGACCCCCAGAGGTCCGGACCCCGCCCTGGGAATGGCGTCTCATCCCGACCCATGTTATGACTGACCTAGGGCCTGAAAAGAGCAACTGGAGCCCAAAAAACCTACAAACTTCAGCCACCAACCGAGTAGCACAAATCGCGTCTGTGTTTTGTTCGCTTCGCGAGGAGGGGATGGATACGCGCACTGACTCCGCGCCACTCCTGAGCGCAGCCGAAGGGGGGGGGGGGGACTGGCTCCGCAGGGGATGCAATTACCCAGAATCGACGATAAGTTGCCGATAGTCCACATCCACCGCACAGGCGGTGGCTATGGATAAATCCCCGCCCAGGAGATGCCCCCCCGTGGATCAGTCCCCCCTGTCGGCCTAGAGGAAACAAACAAAGAACATCAACAAAATTATCTGAGGTCCGCGCGGGTTTCTTGGATCGGCGATGGACCCCCCTTCCTAGCGCGCGGAGCGCGCCAGGGGCGGCGATAGAGGCGACCCCCGCGGAGGTATTCGGGTCATAACTCGGCCATGCGGCAGCAGTTCGGGGCGAAGCAAGCACACCCAGAACGCTCTCGGCGAGGCGCAGCCGTTGAAAAGCACCAAGCACCCCGATGTTGGAGAACCCCCAGGAGCCAAGGATAACGATCCTGGCGAAGGACCCAACCATATGCAGTTGTGAGTGCCGCAGGTGTGGAGATCGTTTCGGTGGTCCTCCCTGAGGCCACAAAACGAATGAGGGGCGTACCGATTTGGGGAGGGGGGGCGTAAACCCTCCCACTGGGACCTTCGATGGAGCTCCATATAGGGCCACAACGTGTGAGAGGTGTGCCGAAGCGGGCGTGACGCCCATATGCGAACTGCAGCACTGGGGCCTTCGGTGAAGCTCCCTACGGGGCCACGAAATGTGTGAGGGGTGTGCCGAAACGGGCGTAACGCCCATATGCGAACTGCAGCACTGGGACCTTCGGTGGAACTCCTCATGGGGCCATGGAGCGTGTCAGGGGTGTGCCGAACGGGCGTGACGCCCACATGCGAACTGCACCACGGAGGCACTCGGTGGATCCCCCATGTCGGGCCACGAAGCGTGTGAGTGTGTGCCGAAATGGGCGTGACTCCCACATGCGCACTGCAACACTGGGACCTTCAGTGGAGCTCCATATAGTGTCACAACGTGAGATGGGTGTGCTGAAACGGGGATGACGTCCACATGCAAACTGCGCAACTTGGACATTCAATGGATCTCCCTACGGGGACACGAAACGGGTGAGGTGTGTGCCGAAATGGGTGTGACTCCCACATGCGCACTGCAGCAATGGGACCGTCGGTGGAGCTCCGCATGGGTCCAAGGAGCGCTTGAGGGGTGTGCCGAAACGGGCGTGACGCCCACATGCGAACTGCGCCACTGGAACCTTATCTGGAGCTCCCTACGGGGCTGCAACACATGTGATGGATGTGCTGAAACGGGGGTGACGCCCACATGAAAACTGCGCCACTGGGACCTTAGCTGGAGCTCCTGCTGGGGCCACGAAACGCGTAAGGGGTGGAGAAGGAGAGAAGGGGGGAAGCACGGAAGGAAGGACCGCAAGGCGCTCCCTCTTCAAAGCGAGGACCCAACACCACGGATGGGTGAGAAAAACATCCGAAGTCAAGGGGGGCAACGCCGATCCAAAAAATCCGTGCGGACCTCCGAGGAATTATGCGTATGCCGTTGTTTGTGACTCGAGGGCCGCTGCCGAGACTCGCCCTGCCTCCGCGCCTCTCCTCGCCCCGAGGCTCGCCGCCGCCTGCTGGAGAGGCACCGTCCAGGCTGCGACCTCCCCCGCGTGGGCGGCCACGCACCCCTTGCCCCCCATCCCCCCCTCCTCATCGTCCTCATCCTCATCCTCACCTCCGCCTCGTCCTCACGATCGCCCTCCTCCTCCGCCTCCGCCTCCATTGCCGCCCCTTCATTCATCATCATCAACAGCACATTCATCATCAGCAGCATCAGCAGCAGCATCGTCATCGTCATCATCCTCATCATCATCATCATCATCATCATCATCAGCAGCAGCAGCAGCATCATCAACATGGGCAGCATCATCAGCATCAGCAGCAGCATCATCCTCAGCATCATCATAAGTATCACAAGCAGCATTAACAACATTATTACCATCATCAACATAATCAGCATCAGCGGTATCAGCAGCATCATCGGCAGCATCAACATCAGCATTGTCATCATCAACACCATCATCAGCATCATCATCGTCGTCGCCACCATCAGTGCCATCATCATCAGCATCAGCATCACCAACATCATCATGATCATCAGCAGCATCAACATCATCAGCAGCAACAACCTAAACTTCAGCATCGTCATCAGCTTTATCATCGGCATCATCATCATCCACATCAGCATCTTCACCAGCATCGTCATCCGCAGCATCATCGTCAGCATCCTCTTCATCATCAGCATCAGCATCATCATCATCCTCATCGTCAGTATCAGTCCCGCCACATCGTCATCGTCGTCTTCAGCATCTTCACGATATGATCAAAAATCTGACAATAGCAAAAAAAGGATCAGCAGTGTCTACACCGTCGCCGACTGCACCTTCCTTATCATCCCCAGCTTCATGAGTGTCATCATCCGCATAGTCACCATCATCAAAAGCAGCATCAGCAGCATCGCCACCGTCAGCATGAGCATCAGCACCATCAGCATCGTCATAGTCATCAGAACCTTCATCAACACCATCACGAACAACAATATCAGCAGCAGCATCACGGGCACCAGCATCAGCATTATCGTCAGCATCATCATCATCGTCATCATCTGCATCGCCAGCATCAACAACATCAGCATCACAATCATCAGCCGCATCAACATCATAAGCAGCATCGGCAACAGCGTCATCATCAGCATCACCACCACCGCCAGCACCACCAGCAGCATCAACATCAGCATCATCATCACCATCATCACCAACAGCATCATCATCGTCATCATCAACAGCATCATCATCGTCATCATCATCAGCAGCATCATCATACTCAGCAGCCCCATCATCGTCAGCACCATCATCAGCCGTATCAACAACACCATCAGCAGCATCAGCATCATCGGCGCCGTCGCCATCATCATTATCATTATCACTATCAGCATCAGCAGCATCAGCATCATCATCATCAGCAGCAGCAGACTTAGCATCGTCAGCAATGCCACCATCATCCTTAGCAGCCTCAGCATCAGCATCAGTATCAACATCACTATGATCATCAGCATAATCATCATCACCACCACCATGATCATCATCATCATCATCCTACTCCTCCTCCTCCTCCTCCTCCTTCCCTCACTCCCTCCCTCCCTCGCTTCTTGATCCTGCTCATCCTTCCGCTTCTGCTGTTCCTCCTGCTCCACCTGCTCCTCGCCCAACTCCTCCTTCTCCTTCTCCTCCTCCTTGTCATCAACCTCAACGTCTACCTCCTCCTCCTTCCTCTCCTCCTCCTCATCATCCTCCTCTACCTCCTCCCCCTCGACTTCTTCGCCTCCTTCTCCCCCTTCTCCTCCTCCTCATCCTCGTCCTCAGCAACAGCAGCATAAGTATCATCAGCAGCATCATCATGATCATCCTCATAATCATTGTCCTAAGCACCATCATCAGCATCAACATCATTGTCATCACCATCACCATCATCATCATCATCATCATCATCATCATCACCATTGCCATCAACATCAACATCAACATCAGCATCAGCAGCATCATCATCATCAGCATCATCATCATCATCATCCTCATCAGCAACATCATGATCGGAATCGTCATCAGCAGCATCAGCATCAGCACTATAAACAGCATCATCATCCCCATCCGCATCATCATCATCAGCAGCAGCATCATCGTCATCGTCAGCATGATCATGATCATGATCATAATCAGCATCAGCAGCAGCATCAGCATCAGCAGCAGCATCAGCATCAGCATCAGCATCAGCATCATCATCATCATCATCATCATCATCATCATCATCATCATCATCATCATCATCATCATCACCCTCTTCCTCCTCCTCCCTCCTGCTCGATCTCCTCCTCCTCCTCCTGCTCCTCCCTCCCCTTCTCCTCCTCCTCCTCCTCCTCTTCTCCTCCTCCCTCGCCTCCTCCTCCTCCTTTCCCTCCTCCTCCTCCTCCTGCTCCTCCCCCCTTTCTCCTCCTCCTCCTCCTCCTCCTCCTCCTCCTCCTCCCACCTCCTCCTCCTTCTCCTCCTTCTCCTCCTTCTGCTCCCCCCTTCTCCTCCTCCTCCTCCTCCTCCTCCTCCTCCTCCTCTCCTCCTCCTCCTCCTCCTCCATCTCCTCCCGCTTCTCCCGTGGGCACGTGGAAACACTTGTCCGAGCGCGTACGTGCCAGGGGCATGTTGGGCCCTCCCCCTCCGCGCACGTATTTTCACAAGTGAAGAATCCGCCACCTGCAAATTGGGTCTCTCCCTTGCGGCCCCGTCGTGGCCCGAAACACGTGAAAACACGTGCCGAGCGCACGCGAGCCGAGACTCATGTTCGAGAACCCTCCCTCCGCACACGTATTTACGGGACCAATTCCGTCGCCTACTGCTCGACACCCTTCTGGAACAGGGCCTTTGGCCCGCAACCTAAAAGAGAATCCCGGGCAGGAGCCCTTACCGGGAAAAACGTGGAATGTAAAAGTTCAACGACGAGCCGACAAGAGAGGAAAGAGAGAGGACAAGGGAGGCACAGCTCCCCCTCCTCCCCCCTCCCCAATCCTCCTCCTTCCTCCCCCGCGGGTGGCTCGGATGGAAGGCCAGGGCTTCCAGGCCTCTGCGGGGGGCGCAAGGGTGGGGCGCCACCCCTTGGAAATTATCCTCCTAGGGGCCCCTGGGGATCCCACGGGTGGGGCCTGGCATGAGTGCTGAGCTCCCTCACAGGAGGCAGCCTGATGCATGTAAAACGAAGCCAGGACGAGGACACATTCGGACGAGGACAAACCGAGAATCTCTGAGATGCGGCGGCTCTGGAGGATGTCTCGGGCGCCGCGGCCTTCTTAGAGCGTTCCAGAACGCGCCGCATCGCCAGCGCATCGGCGATGCATTGGCGACTTGGACGTCGGCGATGCATCGACGACGTCGGTGTCCGAGCAGGACCCAGCCCCCGCCCGAGACTTGAATGTCGATGCTCCACGAGATACACATCCAGGGAACCCAGGCTGCCGCCTCGAGGGAATGTGCTCGCTCGTCGCTACGTCGCCCAGCAACCGGGGGGGAGGGGGCGGGGGGCGGCTCGGACGGTGGCGGCCGCGAAGGCCCGCAGAGGAGAGATCCGGGCCTGGGAGCAAATCCATCGCGGAATTCGGCCCCGCAGGGTTGCGATGACTTCGGATCAAAATATGGGGTGCTCGGACTACCCTTGAAGGTGGTGGCCGAGTGCGTGGAAGACGCGCTCGAAAGAAATGCAGCTCAACACGTCGATCTGCGGCTCGGGGGGAGGAGGAAACAAGACCAGCGGACTAGGGGCGCTATAACAGAGATGGGTCCGCCGTAGGGGGTGCCTGTCCCAGTCGTCGTCGTCGTCGTCGTCGTCGTCGCCGCCGTCGTCGTCGTCGTCGTCGTCGTCGTCGTCGTCAGCCCCATTCCATTTGGGGGGGAAGGGGCCTGTGCAACCCTGGGACCCCTCCCATTTGGAGGGGGGGGCCTGTAGAATCATGGGACCCGTCCCATCTGGGGGGCGGGGGTGTGTGAACCCTCGAACTGGGATCAAGTATATCATGTGAATCCCCGCCCTGGGACTGGCCCCCCCCCCGCCCCCACGGCGAGGAAGGCTCGCCTGCACTTCCGAGCTTGAGTGGACTGGGGAGCTCGTCCTGCCATCCCCCTTCTTCCCCTTCGGGGAGGAGGGTCCCCCTCCCCTGTACCCCCCTCCCCGATGGGTCTCGAATCCTCCCCCCGAGAGGTGTTAGAGGGTCCTTGTGGGCACCAGGTGGCTCCAAGAGGGCACTCACCAGCCGCACAGAGACAGGCGCACCGCCCCCCCCTCTCCCCACGACGCCCTCCTCCCGAGCCCTCCTCCCGAGCCCACTCCTCCCGAGCCCACTCCTGGCACCTCTCCCCCTGCCCGATATTCCGAAAACCGACCTCTTCCGGAGGCAAGCGCGGGGCCTTCGTGGGCCAGAGCCCCGCGGCAGAACCCAGAAGACACCCGATCGTGGCGGACTCTGGTGCCCTGGGGAGCCCCGAGGGCCCTGAGACCATAGCGTCGCAATTATGTTCACAACGGGCGGTTTTGCCTGGTTCCGGGCCCAGGGACCCTCACAGAACGGTCCAGCTCGATAAATACAACAGAGCGTTGGGGCCTAGACCTCCGTTCGAGACTTCTCGCGACACCGCAATTGCTGTTGCAACGTCGGATCTCAGGGAGGGGAGAAATTCCTGCGTTGGCCCCCCTCGCACCTTAGCCGACGGACGCCTCCTACCCTCTGCCGGTCTTACGTCATGAGGCCCTCCTCCTCCTGCTGCCGCTGCCGCAGCTCATCGGCGCTGCTGCTCCTGAAAGTGAGGCTGCTACAAGTTATGCTGCTGCTGCTGCCAGTGCCGACATGATCCTCCTCCTCCTCCTCCTCCTCCTCCTCCTCCACCTCCTCCTCCTCATCCTCCTCCATTTTGTTGGCGCTTTCAAGTCTCAACAAACAATGTGTTGTTCCAACGTCTTCAGACCGGTGTTCTAGAGCTTTCCGCCTGACAACGCAGCAACAAAAAAACTTGGAAACGCTAACAAAACAAAGCGTGTGTGTTAGAGTGCTCAGCATAACAAGAGCCCAGAGTACTCCTCCTCTTCCTCCTCCTCTTCCTTCTCCTCCTCCTCCTCATCAGTATCAGCATCATCATCGCAATCATCATAATCATCAGCATCTGCATCAGCATCAGCATCATCATCATCATCATCATCATCAGTCGTATCAGCAACGACATCAGCCATAATCAACAGCATCATCGTCATTAGCAGCATCATTATCACCATTACCATCATCATCAAAATCATCATCAACAGCATCATCAGCAGCATCATCAGCATCAGCGTCATCATCATCAGCGTCATCATCAACAGCATCATACTCGGCATCACCAGTACCATCATCATAATCAGTATCATCATCATCATCCTCGCCATCATTCTCGTCACCATCATCAGCAACATCAGCAGGATCATGATCATTATTATTTCCACCATCATCAGTCATCATCAACAACAGCAGCAGCAGCCTCGGCATCATCATAATAATCATCGGCAACATGATCATCATCATCATCATCAGCAGCATGATCATCGTTGACGCTGTCGTCGTCGTGATCAGCATCATCAGAATCATCACCATCGTCATCATCATCAGCAGCATGATCAGTATCCGTATCGTCATCGTCATCATAATCATGATCATCATAACCATCATCAACAACAATCACATCTGCATCACCACCGCAATCAGTGTCAGCATCGCTCGTCCGACCTCGTCCTCCCCTTCCTCCTCCTCCTCCTCATCATCATCATCGTCAGCATCGTCATCATCATCACCAGCGCAATCAGTGTCAACATCACTCCGCCGATCTCATTATCATCCTCCGCATCATCAGCATCAGCACCTTCATCTTCACCGTAAGCGACATTATCAACAACATCATCATCAGCATCAGCATCACCATCATCAGCATCATCCGCATCATCATGATTACCAGTATCGTCGTTGTCCGCACCGTTGTCGTCGTGTGTCGTCGTCGTCACAAGCATTACCAGCAGCAGCAGCAGAGCCACCACCATAATCATAATGAATCGGCACATCGTCAGTAGCTGCATCGTCAGAATCATAACCGTCATCACCAAATCAACATAAGCACAGCAATATCATCACAAGCAGCAGCAGCATCCGCACCATCACCAGCGTCGCCATGTCCACCATTATCGTCATCAGCATCAGCACCAGCGGAATCGTCATCATCATCATCCCCACCAGCATCATCATGCTCGCCCTTACCATCACCACCAGCATCGTCTTCGTAATCATCATCATCAGCAGCAGAAACATCATCATCAGCATCATCATCATCACCATCACCAGCATCGTTATCAGCATGATCAGACGCATGCAAATCAGCATCAACATCAAAATCCGCATGAATAGTCTTATTCACGGCAGCAGCATGCTCAGCATCAACCTTGCCACCGTCGTCAGGATCATCATCATCAGCAGCACGAGCATCATCCGCATCATCAACATCGCCAGTATCATCAGCCTCATCATCATCGACACAATCAACATCATCAGCATCATCATCGTCAGCAACATCGTCATAAGCAGTAGCAGCATCATCATCAACATCAGTATCGCCACCATCATCATCACCACAAGCATCGACGTCAGCATTGCAGCATCACAATCAGTAGCAACAGCAGCAGCCTCAGCATCAGCATGGTCATCATCAGCTGTAGCATGATCAGTCTCATGATCATCCGAATCGCTTCCTCCTCAGCATCAGCATCATCACCAGCATCAGCATGATCGTCACCCTCACCACCAGCAGCATCACCAGTATCATCAGCTTCAACATGTTCAGCATCATCGTCAACATCCTCATCATCATTACCCTCATCATCATCAGCATCATCAGCAGCACCATCATCATCATCAGTAGCATCATCATCATCATTAGCATCGTCATCATCATCATCAGCATCATCATCATCACCATCCTCATCCTCATCCAGATCATCATCCCTCCTCCCTACTCCCTCCTCGTTCCTTCCTCCTCCCTCCTCCCTCCTCTCTCCGCCCTCCTCCCTCTTCCATTGTTGCTCCTCTTCATTCTCCCCATACTCGTGCTTCCTCCCGCCTCCTGGTCCTCGGCTGCCTCCCCAAAGTCTACCGCAGTCAGAATCCCTGGGTCAACAGGTGCTTGCATCAACGATGCACCCGTGCAGGGCCCTGTGAACGAACGCCTTAGAAGGGGCATCGGAATATGCAGCAATCGGATAGATTTCTCAATGCCGAGTTTGGGAGAGATGTTAGCCACAGCAAGAAAACCGTAAACTGTTACGAACGCTGACATCAACATCAAGCACGACGCAGTCGCCCACACAGCGAGCTGACGTGGGGCAAGAGGAACACTTCGATAACTTAGCACGCTTACATCCTTGCATGATTCCCTTATTATGCGTTCCCTCGAACATGTATAATAGACACCAACTGTCACGGTTTTCTGCCATGGCTCACAGGTTCCGGGCTCACGTTGACTCCAGGCGACACTTGTTTCGGACACAACCACAATGGACATGGATGCACAAGAGTGGGCGGGAGAAAGAACCATATGTTTGATATTCTGCTGTTCACCATCCATGCACTGATTTCTTTACCGCTCTCGATCATGACACACGCCCGATCCTTGCGCATCATGAGAATAGCGCTAAGATGTGTACGCATACAAATGTGTGCATATATGCAAATGAGCGTGCATGCACAACCGTTCTGAGTATGTGTATATATATATATATGGCACGGATAACCACGCAGCGAACGTCTTGATGCCAATACGTCGAAACATTCCGATCGGTGCAAAGCGAGCACGCGTCCCGCAAGCTAGATGTCATCTTTTCAGTGGACGGCCCGTCCAATGCCACACACTGCAAACACGGCATGGCGCGTCTGGCCTCGAGTCATGGAGCACAAATCGATGACCCAAGGGAGGGGCGCTAGACCGAAGGAGCCATGGCATGGCGCGTCTGGCCTCGAGCCATGGAGCACAAATCGACGACCCAAGGGAGGGGCGCCAGACCGAAGGAGCCCCATGTTTCGGCCAGAAGGCCGCTCTGGGCCCCCTTTCCCCTGTTGCCCAGCATACGCCGACACACTCCCTCGTACAGCCCCTCCTCTGCCGTGGGAGTCTGTCACCGTCACCCTCTCTGGATCCATCAATGATTAGCAGATGAAGAACCCCTAACCCTTTGAGAGCGGACCTAAGTTGAGAGGCCAGAAACGTTCGGGACAAGGACCAGTTGTTCAGCAGACGTGTCAAACCAAACCGCCCAGAAACTCGCGGCCCCCATGCACAGACAGGGGACCTCGATCCGACCACGTCTTCCTTGCGTTAGTAGGGTTAGGGGTTCTCTTACTCTCGATGACATCAAGCAGGGAAAAGGGCCACCGTCTCCAGGACACGGTTTACCGCCGCAGGGGCCCGGGCGTCTCACCCTCCGGCCGTCGAAGCGCGGGACCTCCGAGCGGAGAGTGCAGGGCTGGGGGGGGGCGCTGTCAGGGGCGAGACGGAGGTGAGCGGAAGCGGCACGAGCGATGATAGAGGAGAAGAAACACTTGCATAAGCATAGGCGTTCGACGGTCTGGCGCCGACCCAAGAGCTCTGCGCGGAGCTGAGGGAAAGCATGGTTATGCTGCTGTTTCTTCTTCGAGTTGAGGGGGACTGGCTCGAGGGGACGATGCATCGACCTGAAATCGACGATGCATCGCCCACAGATCGGCGATGGGCCCTTCGATGGCGAATCCGCACGCTCCTGGGCGGGGCGGGCTGTCAGGCCCCGATCGGCGATCCACGTGCTCTTGGGGGTCGATGCCTCCCCCACTGAGCCTCACATTATCCCCCCCTGAGGCTGCCCCTGGAGCAAGGGCTGGAGCGGGAGAGGAGCGGGACCTGGGAGCGGGATCTGGGCAGAGGCGGCACCCCATGAGCCGCGGCGCAAGCGGGGAGAGGGGGCGAGGAAAAGGGAGCGGGCAGTGTGAGCGATGGGGGATGAGGGGGCGGTGCATCCGCAGGAGCAGGCGGCGAACGGGGCAAGGCTGCACGAGCCGGCCATCCTCAGAACGTGTGCTGGCGCCGGCGTGCGCTTGTCCACGGAAGCCCTCTAATACGACGCAGGCGTTGCAACGGGGGCCGACACAGGCTGCGAGCTATCGGCGGAGTTGAAGTGGGCAAACACACGCTCACTGGGGCTAAAAGACGTCCTGAGGATCTTCGAACAAGTCGCTTCGACAAGGAAGAGCCACCACTGCCGCTCTCGACTCTCCCCGCTCCTGGGTCAGGCGTCGAGGCCGGCGTCGGTCGAGGAGCGCCGCAGTTGTTGCAGTGGTCCCGCTCGGCCTTGTTCGGCTCGTCGCCTGAGCGGAGCAGCGCCCACTCTGGTCCAAAAAGAGGGCTCTCAGTAGGCGGCGCGCCGATGGGAGAAGTGAATAAGGGTAGGCCTTCTCAAAGGCCACAGGGCTTCTCAGAAGCTCTCTGGCCTTCTGAGAAACTCTCTGTGGCTTCGCAGGTGGCTGAAAAAGCGTCTCACAAGGCCGGAGGCCTCCCGAGCCTGCCGAGATGGCCAGCCCCCTCTGTCTTCCACCGAGGGCTCGCCGAAGAATCAGACAGGGGGCCTGGCCACGGGTCCACAGCGAGCGCACACCCAATCCTAAAGAGACCGACAACGGCGGAAAGCCGCAAGGTCCTTCAAGATTGGGAGTCCCAAAGCCGTGCGGTAACAGACCGTGCGGCGACCTCGAGATACCAAAAGACCTTACCGCACCGGTTCTGGGACCTCTGAGGACGCCGCAGTCGTCCGAGATATCCCCAGAGAGAAGCCCCCCTCGTGCCACACCCTTTGTGGGCGCCACCAATGGTCACCGCACCGTTTCTGGACTTCCAAGAAGACAACCTGTCTTCATGGGCCCTGGGCCGACGGCGTGCCGTCTGCCAATACCCACCCGCTGAGCCACCGAGCCCGTGGGTCGTCGGCGGGGGCGCGCGAAGGAGTGGGGCGAAGGGGGGCGGCCGTGGAGGCAGAAGGCTGCCTGCCGCGCAGCGTGCTAACATGGAACATGGATACATGGATCTGGCGCGTTGGCGCCAGGTGCACGGGTCGGGGAAGGCACCCCCGAGACAGGAAGCCAGTGCCGCCTGACTTGCCGACGAAGCGGGCCGAGTCCGCATGGAAACGGGACCCGTCGCCGACCCACTTGCCCTGATCCATGCTTGCGCGTGCTGGATCCTCGGGGGCTTCTCCCCCCCTAGCCTGGCCCCTGGCGTGCTGCCCCCCCCTCAGTAGCCCTCGAAAGAGGCAACAGTTTCGCACTTCGCAGCCCCCGAGGGATGGCGAGGTCGTTTTTGCATCTGCGTGGGGAACCACTGTGTTGCCCCCAACCCCCCCAGCAGCCCTCGAAAGTGGCGACAGGTACACATTTCGCGGCCCCCCAGGGATAGCGAGGCAGGAGGCATGCAAGCAGGCAGGTGCAGGCAGGCGAGAGGGGGGCGGATGGCGGAAGAAGGGAGTTGGCTACCCCACTGCGTTATTCAAAACGAGAACCCAGCCAAGAGATGGTTGGGAAAAAACAAGGCGCTGGAGTTCTGGTTCTTGTAGGTTTTCGACGGTGCTGCACACCGATCCCAGACCTCTCGACCACTTCCCTGGGGCTAACCTCTCGTCCCGAACCCCTTTTTCCATAGACCGCCACACCGCCCTCCGAGAGCCCGAAACCGCGAGAAGCTCTCTGCCTGCTGCGCCGCCGCATGTCAGGGACAGCGAACCAAAGATCGGCCCCTGGGCCTGTCCAGGGGTGCCCTGACCAGGAAGCCGAGTGGAATTCAGCCGTGGCGACGACGAGCCTTCAGGAGGCCACGAGGTCGACAAACCTCGACCCTCGATTCACAGTGAAGCAGGCGGCACCCGAACGAAATGGGTCTCGTGGCCCCCGGGGCTGCCCCCCAGAGAGCAACTCTTCGTCCGGAGCCAGCTTTTGACGGCCCCGGGGCCCTGGAAAGGCCCCAGGAGACCGAAAAATACGAAAGACCTCAGGACATGTTCCCTTGCCTTGGCGGCGCCCACACGGGGCGGCGCGAGGGGGGTGGCCTTCTTTGAGAAGGCGGCGGGGCTTCTTGGGGACATGGTGGCCTCGGGAAGTTCTAAGAGGACTTCTTAGAAGCAGGGCGGGCTTCTCAGAAGCCCCCCTGCCTCCTTGGAAGGCCCGCCGCCTCCTTCTCAGAAGCCCACCACCCTCGCGCCCCTCCCTTGTGGGCGCTGCGAGGGTGGGCCATAGGAAGCCGCAAACAGGCAAACACCTCAGATCCCAACTCCCTTTCATTAACTCGGGAGGACGAAGAACTGCCATAAAGCTACACTTTTGGAACACCGCACGGATTCCTTGGGTCCGCACTGGACCCCCTCCCTGTCGCGCGGAGCGCGCCAGGAGCGGCTCTGGAGGCGCCGCCAAGGTGGCCCAGCGCAAATCCAAATCCGTGCGGAGCTCCGACAGCCTATGTTTCTGGAGTTGCTTCTTCTCTGACTTCCCTTCACAGCGATCGATCGGGCGAGGCTGAGCCCGCTGCACTTCACGCACGTCCACTTGGCCGGCGGAGGGGGCTCCGAACCCTGGGCCGCCGACTCCGCGGCAGCACCCTCCGCCGCAGCGCCTCGGAGGCCGCCCCCGAAGCCGAGCCTGGCATCCCGATCCGAGCCATCTGCTGATCTGATCTGTTTCGCGGATGCCTGCTTGGAGAAAACGCCTCGACACGTTGGAACCAGGGATAGGGGGCCCCACACAGCGAGCACCCCTGGAGAGCCGGGGGGGGGGCACCTGGACACCGGCCTCCGTCACCAGACGGGGTAGGCCCCGCCCCCCTCCAACGGGCGGGGTTCGAACCAGAAGAGGGCGCCCCCCCCTGCCAAGGGGAAGGGGTTCGAACCTGGGGAGGGCCCCCCCCCTTGAGTGCAAGAAGGGGGGGTTCGAACAGGTGGGGGGGGCCCGCCCTCCTGAACCCGGGGGTGAGCCCCCCCCCTACCTAAGCCCGCCTGCCCAAGGGGAGGGGTTTTGAACCAGGGGGAGGACCGTCGTCGTCGTCGTCGTCGTCGTCGTCGTCGCCGTCGCTGCCCGACGGCGCCCGCGCAGGCGCCAACGCCAAGGTGAGGGGGGCCCCTCACCCGGTTCGAACCCTGCCCTTGCAACTCGGGGGGGCCCTTGTGCGCATCGTCGTCGCAATCGCCGTCGCCGTCGTCGCCGCCGTCGCCGCCGCCGCCGTCGCCGTCGCCGTCGCCGTCGCCGTCGCAGTCACCGTCGCCGTCGTCGTCGCCGTCGTCGTCGCTGTCGCCAGCGCCGTCGCCAGCGCCGTCGTAGTCGCCGTCGCCGTCGCCGTCGCCGTCGCCGTCGCCGTCGCCGTCGCCGTCGCCGTCGCAGTCGCCGTCGTCGTCGCCGTCGCCGTCGCTGTCGCCGGCGCCGTCGCCATCGCAGTCGCCGTCGTCGTGGTCGTCATCGTCGTCGTCGTCGCCGTCGCCGTCGCCGTCTGCGTCGTCGTCGTCGTCGACGCCGTCGCCGTCGCTGTCGCCGTCGCCGTCGCCGTTGCCGTCGCCGTCCCCGTCGCAAAGGCCGTCGCCGTCGCCGTCGCCATCGCCGTCGCCGTCTGCGTCGACGTCGTCGCTGATGCCGTCACCGTCGCCGTCGACGTCGCCGTCGCCGTCGACGTCGCCGTCGCCGTCGCCGTCGCCGTCGCCGTCACCGTCGCGCCGTCGTGGTCGTCGTCGTTGTCGTCGTCGTCGTCTCTCGTCGTCGTCGTCGTCGTCGTCTCTCGTCGTCGTCGCCGTCGCCGTCGCCGTCGCCGTCACCGTCGTCATCGTCGTCGTCGTCGCTGCCCGACGGCTACGGCGCCAGCGCGGGCGCTCGCCGTCGTCGGTCGCGGGGGGGAGGCCGCCTCCTCGTCGTCGCTGTGCCCAACGCCGCCAGCGCCGGCGCTGGCGCTCGCTCGAACCCCCACCCTTCCTTGCAACTCAGGGGGTCGGGGGCCCCACCCGGTTCGAATCCCCCCCTCCCGCAACTCGCGGGGGTTGGGGCCCCCCCTGGTTCGGACAGAGGGGGGGGGGGCCTGTTCGACTGCCCCCCCCCCGCAACTCGGGGAGGGAGACCCCTCCCCAGTTCGAACCCACCCCCCGGTTCGACCCCCCCACTGCATCTCTCAAGGGGGGGCGCCCCCCTTGCTCGAACCCCCCCCCACTTCCCAGCGTCCACAGAACGCGCTTATTCTGATCTGACGAAGACGCGGGTGACCCTGAGATCCTGGCGCTGTAGTTTTTTTTCGTAACGGGCGAATTTGCCTTGTGCCGGGCCCCGGGCCCTCACGAGCCGAATCGGCTCAAAAACTGCAGCCGAAAGATGGCGTCCAGGGTTCCAGCAAAGCTGTTGTACGACGTTGGAATTCTGTTCGTGACGTTGGAGATCAGGGAAAGAGCGCGCCCCTACCCCGAACGGCGGTGCGGACCCAAAGCAGCAAGACGGCAGGCGGAGGAAAGGGAGGACCGCGACAGGGAGATGATCACGACCAGGTGGGCCCGGAGCGCGACCGGCGCGCGAACCGACCGCACCGACCGGCGCGCAGAGAGCGGGCGCCCGCCCGGTCGATCAGGGAGGCCCGCTACAGTGCGCCTCGCGAAACTGGCCGCCGCCATCGGGGTACACTTCGGTTCGGGGCCCAAAAACGGTGTGGTGACCCCGGAACTCCCACCTCGGAAGCAGTCGCTCGAGACGTCCGCGGAGAAGGACCCGAGTCCCAAAACCGCGTGGTGACTCACCACGCGCTGTGTTCACCATACCGTTTGGGGGCCCGAGATGTACGCCCTGCTGGCACCGATCTCGGGCCCAGGACCAGCCTGGCCAGGATCGGTGTGGGTGTATAGTTTGTGCCCTCCGTCTCCAAGTCGCCTGCAGCCATCGTGCTGCCACTCGGAGCGCCGAATAAGGGACGAAGAAGCACCCCTGGCCAACGTGTCCATGGGCCCAGATGTGACGGCCCGAAGACCAGAGCCGCTCTTAAGCCAAGAACGGGCCTCATTCCAGCGTCTTGACTGCAGGCCGTCTTACGTGGCGCATTGCGCCCCACGGTTCACGACGCGCGGCTATCCTTCGGACCCTCGCGCCCCCGCCCTGGAGGGCGTCTCCCTGGCCCAGGCCGCGATGCGCGAAGCGCCATTGGATTTGGGCATGGGGAGGTGACCTGGCGGACCACCTGGGACGTTGCTTCATGGGGGGGGGGCAATAAGCCGAATGAAGCAAGAGCGTCCAGAAACCTCGGGTTTGAGAGGGAGGGTGAGGGGGAGCAAAGGGGGGGAATGGCCAGGAGGGGGGAAACATTGACCTGGAATCGGCGATGCATCGTCGATAAATCGGCCGCACGAGGCTGGGCAGGTGGGGTGGCGAGGCCCCGGTCGGCGAGGAATGGGCGGTTCGGGGTCGGCCTTGTGTGTGCAAAGTCAGTGCGTGTGTGTAGTTGTTGTGTTTCTGTGTTTGTTATGTTCCGTCCTGTATGATTTGTGTGTGTGTTTGTACTTGTTTGTGTTTGTTTGTGTTGTTCCCCACCGGACAGGTTGGGGTCGCTAGATTTAAAAAACAAGCTTCCCGGCCACTCCCACCCTGCATACCGCGGCCGCCAGACCCCAAATTGTCCCGAGTGTCCCGGTTATCCCGCCTCGCTCCCTCGACAAACGCGACAGAACACACCCTGCATACCGCGGCCGCCAGACCCCAAGTTGTCCCGAGCGTCCCGGTTATCACGCCTCGCGCCCCCAGCAATTACGACAGAACGCACCCTGCATACACCGGCCGCCAGACCCCAAGGTGTCCCGAGAATCCCGGGCGTCCCGCCTCGCGCCCTCGACAAACACGACAGTTTACAATATGACACAACAGAACATGACAGAACAGAGAAAGAGCATGATAGACCATGGCAGAACATATCATGTCAACATCATGACAAAATAGAAGACACCAGCATATCACAGTACTCGAGCAAAACATGACAGAACATATTTGTTTTGTGTTGTCGTGCATGTGCCGCAACGGTCGGAACAGTCACGCAGGGGAGGGACGACGAAGAAGAGAGGGGGAGCAGCATATCACAAAACCCGAGCAGAACATGACAGAACAGATTTGTTGTGTTTTGTCGTGCATGTGCCGCAACGGTCCGGACAGTCACGCAGGGGAGGGACGACGAAGAAGAGAGGAGGGGAGGTCTGATACAAAAGCCTCTAGGGCCACCTCTGGGGCAAACCGAATCACGGAGAATGGGGGCAGGGAGTGGCTAAGTATAGAAAAGGGGGGCGAAGGATAAAAGCGGGAGGGGAACGCGAGCGGCGCACCGAGGAGCAGAAGCAGAGAGAAAGGAAGTTCTTCAGTTGATCAGACCAAGAAAATAACGAGGTTGATGACTCATGGAAGCTCTGACTTTGCACACACAATCGGCGCCTCCCCCCCGAGCCTGTCCCTCCCTCTCGCTGCCCCCGCCCCCGAAGGGAGGGCCCACTGCGCTCGCCGAGGGACTCCTGCGCCGAGGGGCAGTCGGCCACCGTGCCGCGAGGCCCCGTGCAGCGAGTGGAGCGACCTCAAGTCACTAGGACCTTCTGCAAAAAGGCACGAAGCACTGATAAAGGGCCTACAGCGTCGACTTCCAGGCGCTCCTGGGCGCTCTTGAGATATGGGGCGTGTCACGTGTTCCCGCTTGACTTCTCGGCAGCCAGAGCGCCCGAAGACGAGCCACCTCCTCCTCCTCCTCCTCCTCCTCCTCCTCCTCCTCCTCCTCCTCCTCCTCCACCTCCTCCGCCTCCTCCTCCTCCTCCCCCTCCTCCTCCCTCGACGGCGAGGCCTCCCTCCCCTGCCGAGCGGCACCGGCCGCGGCGACGGGGCCCGAGCGCCGCGCCGCTCGGCCCCGCCCGCGCGGCGGGCCCGGCCGCCTCCTGCGGATGCGAAGGGCTGGGGGCGCCCCAAGACGAGCCACCTCCTCCTCCTCCTCCTCCTCCTCCTCCTCCTCCTCCTCCTCCTCCTCCTCCACCTCCTCCGCCTCCTCCTCCTCCCCCTCCTCCTCCTCCCTCGACGGCGAGGCCCTCCTCGCATCCGTGGGGCCTCGGGAGGTGTACCTTGGGCCTGTACTGTTGTGTGCGAGAGGGGATCAAGGCAACACTTTTTCAAGCACCGCTCTGCCGGTTGCGTGGTAGAAGTCTGCCTTGATCCCCTCTCGCACACCACAGTACAGGGCTGGGGCGCTCCCGTCGCGACCCGGAACTCAGCGCATCGCGGGGCTCGGGAGGTGTCACTGGGGCCTCGGGAGGCAGAGGCCTCCCAAAGGGGTCCGAGCAAGTGAGGGGGCGGAGGATTGCGCCGACGTCGCCGATGCATCGCCGAGGCACCGGCGACGTCGGAGCGAAGGAAATCGGGCTCCACATCGAGCCCCATCGCCGAAACATCAGCATTGCGGCGCGACCCTTCGACACCACCTACTTGGACACCATTCGGGAGGCCTAGAAACTTGGGGCTCAGGGGTGCTCCAATGTTCGGGCCGCTCCTGAGATCTAGGCCGGCGAAGCTTGTTCGTGGCCTAAGCTCAGCGTGGCCGGGGAGGCCCATTCGTTCCACGTTCGGCATTCCTTGTGGTAGCACGATGGCTGTAGGGGAGGGTGGGTAGGAGGCGGCAGAGGAGGAACGAAGGAGAGCGGATGGAGAAGGAAGAGAGAGAGAGAGAGAGGAGGGAGAAGGATGAGGGAAAGGGGTGGGTAAGGAGGACGGAGGGAGGAGGACCCTGCCCCTTCCTTCCTCCCCTCCCGCCCGACCGCCCCCCCCCCCCACTTCCCCACCCCCCCCCATCGCTCCCCTTCGTGAAGGAAGGACAGGGAAGGACTGGCTCAGGGGGGACACATCGACCTAAAATTGGCGATACATCGCCGATAGATCGGTCATAGGCCCCCGATAACGACACCGCACGTTCATGCCGAACGGTCGGAGGCGGACCGCCGTCGTCGTTGTCGTCAAATCTTCGGCCATACACCCCCGATAGCGAATCCGCACGCTCCTGGGCGAGGAAAAAGTATCAGGCCCCGATCGGCGATGAGCAGGCGATTGGGGCGCCTATCCCCCCCACCCAACTTTTGCCTCTGACCCTCCCGACCTGACTTTGGGGTCACAACTCGGCTCTCTGGCTGCCGTTCGGAGCCAAGGGCACCCCAGGAACGCTCTTGGCGAGGCAGAGTTGCAGGAGAACCAACGAGATCGTCCGAAACCCTCGAATCGATGCGTCCCCCGACCACTTGACTCTGCCCCTGACTGTTCCTCACGCTCTACGTACTGAGCACCCAAAGAAGAAAAGGCCCCCATGGCAGAGGCGGACGTGCAGGAGCACCCTCGGCAAAGGGACTGGCCAGAAACGCTTTGGCAGGATGATGGAGGCGGCCATCCAGGCGCCCTCCAGGACCCGCGCGAGAGGGCCCCCGAGGCCCCGCAGAGGCCCCGACGAGGGGCCAGAGAGGGGCCCCAGCAAGGGCCCAGGCCCTAAGCAAGGGATCGTGAGGCCCCCCGGAGGACCTCCAAGTCCCGCATCAGAGGCACGCGAGTGGCCCCCGGGGAGCTCCCAACAGGGGCCCCCGGAGAGCTCGAACTGCACGTCCCGAGGCCTCCTCCCAAGATGGCCCTCGAGGCAGCCAACAGGCGTGCAAGAGGCCCCCGGAGGCGAGGCCCACACAGGGCGCCCAGAGGGGGTCCCAAAATGCTTCGAAGAGGCATCAAAGAGGCATCCGAGCAAGAGGCCCCAAGTCCACGACCCATAAGCGATGGCGGGATAAACCGAAGGCCACTCGATCCGCCGCACCCTGTGTTTGCCGCGGGTGTCATCGGCGCGCCACAGTTGGAAGCAGTTTATATTTGCCCATCCAATCGGTCCCCATGGGCTCTTCAGCCCGTCCCGCCGAAAGTGGGCCCCATATGGTTCACGAGGGCTCCAAGAGGGTCGCCAAGAGGGCCCTGGTCGACAAAAGACCAAACCAAGATGACCGAACTGCCATCCAAAAGTACCAGACAAATCCTAAGAGAAGCCCAGGACGGCCTCCGGACGGCTCAAGAGGCAGGCCTCCAAAGGCTCCCAAGAGGACCCCCGAAAAGACAAAAAGCACTGCAACCAATAACTGTGTTCACTGGTTTGCGGCCTCTCAGTTTGAAGGGGAGTGGGAGGCCCAACCATAAGCTTCGCCAAGGCGAAGCCCATACCCAACTCTGCTATACCATGGTAGCGAGAGCCCAGAAGTGGGAGATCGTCGCGGGAGCGATGGGACATACCAAGCGAAGATGATTTCGGTCTCATTGGCCAATAATGCGCTTCGCGATGAGGCACAATCCCAGTTTGGCGGCCAGCCGCTTGAGCACAAACTGCCGCAGACAAACGCTCGCTATCTCTCGCCTTTGCCCCAAACTCCTTTAGAATCGGGGGGGGGCGAAGCGCGACTACGCCGGCAGCAGCAGACAGGCTCAACAAGGCAGGTTGACCCGCACAGAACGCCCCTTACAAGCAAGTTGCCTCGTGGGCAAATACCTTGCAGGTTCTTCAGGCGGCTCAGACGATCATGTCTGGCCAGCCCTGCATGGAGTGTGTCGTTTTAGGTCATGCTTGAAGGATCGCGTTCCTCCCATGACCTGTAGGAGCATGTCTCTGTCGATGTTCCCTTTGGCGCGGCCGTCCGCGGCCATGTCGCGAGTGCCACACCACTGTGCACAATGCGCGATACCTCGCTCCATCATCTGTCGCATCCAACTGATGTGCCCCAAATGTGAACACCCAGTCGGTTTACCCAGGTCTTTGCTTGACAAGGAAGTGAAGACATATTATGCATCGATGGTCACAGCGACCACAATGTTCAGGCAGCCGATCTCACGTATATCCTTCAACTAAATGGGTGTCAGCGGCCCTGCGTGGACTTCGTGCAGAGTGACGATCGTGGGATAGCAGTCCTCCAACTTGCTGGCCGCTGCAGCGCGCAATCGATGAGACCTGCAGTGCGCGCCCACAAGATGGACGACGTGTTTGCCGGCATGCGCGCGTCCACGCCGAAGCAAATTTGCCCCGCGAATACCATGGCCATTGACCTGTCCTCGGCATCCCCGCTTAGACGGCGGCAGCCGGAGTCGCTGCGCAGGTCGGCCTCACCCGTTGGAGAAATCGCTGGATAGACGATCTGCTCAGGACAGACCTGCAACGTTCTGGCAATCGCGCCCAGTCGTCGCACCATGCATGTTGGTCGATTCTTGGACGCAGTGTAGAGACGCAACATGCACCATTAACAACACCTGCGTGCTCAGGCCGTAAGACAAGGCGCCTCTGAGGCTGACGAAAATGTCAGCGACCATAATCGATGCCTTGGCCTCAGCGCCCGGGCCAGTGAGTTCGCGAAGTTGGACGGAATGGAGCTGCTCTATATTCGTCTTGATCAAATGCAACATTACCGTTGCCACCGTCCTTGCACCTCACAGCGCAGTTGGTATGCGCGTGTTTGAGTTCACAAATACCGGAAGTATGCCGAACACACTTGACGCAGTCGTCGATGGCTGCTGGCCCCACAGGCATTGATCCCATCGCAACCGTCGCTGAAAGATCCATGGCGGGCTGCCCCGCAGCGGGAGGAGCAGCGGGTGCCCCACCACGCTCCCGATTACGCCGTCGACCAGCAAGTTGCATTAATGGTTGGCCTGCTGCGCCCCATGGATGGCTAATATTTCGGGACGCAGCTCTCCCACCGATACAGGTGCTACCAGCTCTGGACCGCGTTGATTCACTTCTGGGTCCACGGGGACTGCCAGGTACCCATAGTGGGGCACCTGGCCAGGGATGTCGGCCTCGTATCCAGCTCCCCGTGATAGCTGGAACCTATAAACATCATCTGCTGTCGCCCGTGCGCACGGGTTTTCGGGTTGGCTACGGGCCCGAGGGATACCCGCGTCTGCGCATAGCAATCAAGAGACATGGGTGAATCCATGTGTGGCGCCACAGGCCGCTCGGCAGCCGTCGGATCATAGATCAGGCATGCAGGTGAAAAAAAACGCCCGCGTGTACCCATGCCGGTTTGGATGGCCCGGCGATGGATTAGCATCTGGAACAGACCCCCAGGGCGGAGTCGAGCTGGCGCTCGGAAGATCGATCCCGCCCCGCCCCATGCTCTCCATAGCCTCTCGCATCTGCCGATGCGTCCACTGCTGCTGCTGCCCCAGTAGGCTCTCGGCCCTCTGGGGCGCCCCCCGGTCTGCAATGGCAGGTTGCCCCGCGACAGCCCGCGGAGATGCACTGGGCGATGTGACCTGCAAGGCTCGGCGGAGCTGAGGGCCATCCCAGTGCTTTGGAGTCTGGGCCGCAGGCTATTTGTGCCCCCAGCGCTTTGCGGAGTGCCAAATGGGGCCGCGGCCCTGCTCGTGGGTCAGCTCTGACCAGCACGCAGAACACTTGCACCCAATGTGTGCCCCTTTCGCAAGGTCGCCGCGCACTCGGGCCAACAACGCGGCAAACTTCGCGCGAACTCTGTCTCGCGCCAGCGCGCGCGATCCACGCTCGCCGCGAATCCGCTAGCCCGCCGCTGGCCCCGAGAGATGTGAAAAATCACGCTGGAGGCTGGGGCGGAGTCGCATGCCCTGGCACGAAAGTCGCGCAAATTGCTTCGCGCGAGCTGCGCCGCGCCATCTCGAGCGCGAACGCGCCCGCAGCAGCAAGGGGCACGCGCGACCGCAGAGGCCGTTGACGCACAGGGGCGGAACTGGCGGGGCGCGCGCGAGCGCGCGGAGCATCGCGGTGGAGAGCGTCGCCCAGCAACCGCGGGCGGGCGCGACAGCATCACGCGCCGCGACGGAACCCTAGTGCGCGGCGGCCTCATCGACGGCCCCCTTACGCCGAAAAGACGAGATTCGCCCCGCTGCAACTGGCGGAGCGCGC